GGCTCAGGAAGAGTCCATGTTACCTCTTCAAAAATGTCCAGTAACAAATCTTCAGCAACTAGCCCAAATGGGGATTTCCTGGATTAGGCTAAAAAGGGAACGCAAAGATTTATAGTAGGGAAACAGAAGCAAGTTCTCCTATATTTACCTTAGAAACTTCATACTGGCTCAGGCTAGAGGCTTTTCAGCTCAAGGCACCTTGGTTTATGTAGCGTTGGAAGGCCTGGGGTGACATGAGTTTGGGTGGCGTTGTCTTAGTCCCAGATATGCACGGTGGGTTGGGAAACCATGTCCCCTGATGCTCCCTCCCTCGAAAAGAGTTGGGGCTGATGGACTCAGATTTTTTTACTCTTTCTAGCAAAGCACCCACCCTTTAATTCCGGCACACGTCACCCTCTACCGTCACCTTGGTTGTTCCCAGAATCACACAGAGTACATACTGAAGGGCAAATTCAAGGATTGCTCTTATCAGCACTGATGGAAGCTTGCCAGCCGCGAGTGCATTCCTTACCACTTCACAGAGCAGCGCATAGGTAACTGGCCCCTTTGCCTAAAGCAAAGACCAAATGGCATCCAGCAAGCTGATAATGAGGGGAACGTGTCAGAGACTATTAGCATGAGTCATTGCTTCTTAGGCTCAGTGAGACTGACTCAGGGAAGGCTTCCTCATGTATTTCGCCTGGGTGGCAAACTCCTCAGCACTTCAGGAAACACCCGTGGGGATTCATTCTAATCAGTGGAAGTGGGTGAAATTACTAGTTCAACGTGTTAGGCCAATAATTAATGACAATCAAGGTGTCAATGAGGAATAATTGGCCCCTTGCACCTCATCACCTCACTGCATTCCTTTCAGGTGTCTTATTTCCCCTTCCTTAGTGAGACTGTGCTAATGCTACGTGCTTCCACTGCACCTGTCAGTTGGGGATCTCAAAGCACTTTGGGTATTATCCCCATTGTACAGCTGGTGAAACTGAGGCACACCATGGTTAAGTGTCTTACTCAAGGTCAAGCAATGCATCAGTGACAATGTCTGGAGCAGAACTCAGCTCTCTTGGTTTCCAGTTTCCTTCTCTGCCAAGCAGATGATGCCACCTCCCATAACAACAACTGTAATGATTGGAAACATGTTTGATTGTGAATTTCGTTAAAAGACTTTAAAAATAATGGGCCTGAGTCTGCCCTCATGTCACCTTCTTCTTCTTCTGTGCCATCTCCATTACTGGAGGTTTGCAACAATGGTAGTCCATTCTGTACGGTCCTCTTCTACCCTCTTTGTGGATGAGCAGTCCTTTTGATCCACCCAGGATATCATCTCACCACCCAAAATCTTCTTCTTCTGCCTCATGTTCTGCCATCCACTTTCCCTTCCAGTGCCCATAAACATGCACGGCCACTTGAACCTCTTAAAATATGCCCTGCAAATCAAATCTTTCTTTTAATAAGATCTCTAACTAGCGTTTGCGGAGTTCCAGTCATCTTCAATACTTTTTCATTGGTTACAGTCTATCTGTGATAGTCTGAGAATTCTATAACACCATAATGTGAAGGACTGTAGTTTCTTTAAAAGAAAAGGAGTACTTGTGGCACCTTAGAGACTAACCAATTTATTTGAGCATGAGCTTTCGTGAGCTACAGCTCACTTCATCAGATGTTTACCGTGGAAACTGCAGCAGACTTTATATACACACAGAAATCATGAAACAATACCTCCTCCCACCCCACTGTCCTGCTGGTAATAGCTTATCTAAAGTGATCAACAGGTGGGCCATTTCCAGCACAAATCCAGGTTTTCTCACCCTCCACCCCCCCACACAAATTCACTCTCCTGCTGGTGCTAGCCCATCCAAAGTGTGCTGGAAATGGCCCACCTGTTGATCACTTTAGATAAGCTATTACCAGCAGGACAGTGGGGTGGGAGGAGGTATTGTTTCATGATTTCTGTGTGTATATAAAGTCTGCTGCAGTTTCCACGGTAAACATCTGATGAAGTGAGCTGTAGCTCACGAAAGCTCATGCTCAAATAAATTGGTTAGTCTCTAAGGTGCCACAAGTACTCCTTTTCTTTTTGCGAATACAGACTAACACGGCTGTTCCTCTGAAACCTGTAGTTTCTTTATTATCGATTGTTTGAATGTCCATATTTCACAGCCGTAATTTAACACAGACCAAATGTAAGTTTTTAAGAGCTGGAATTTAGTCTTCATATTTATGTCCCTTCTCATCAGATGTTTATTCTTCCGCAGTATCTGCTCTCACTTACTCTGGTGTAAATCAGGAATAACTCCAAATCAGTGGTATATACTGGGATGAGTGAGAACAGCATCAGACTCAAGGCATGCTTTTGTTTCTCGTCTGCCAACAAAGGGCTCTTTTGCCCGTTTCAATCCTGATCTACAACCCACTGACATTGATGAGTCTTTCTATTGTCTTCTTTGGGCTTTGGATCAGGCCCTGAATGTGGATGAGAATAGTTACTGGTAACAGGAATTTTCTGTGCCCATAGTATAGTAGATCTGAATGTGAGTATATTGATATTGGCTATGATGGATTTTCACAAAAACAATAATAGCAATCCATACAGTGTGCTTTCCTCAAAGGGACACTGTTCAAATATTGTGTACTGATTTTAGTACTCTTTTGCATACAGTTTCTTTCCAAAGGCTCAACATTTCTTTCCCTACCAATTTTGGACCCATCTGGACTCATTTACACCCATTAAACTCAAGAGGATGGTGGAGGTGTAATTTAAGCACAATATTTGTCTAGCTGCATTTGGCAAACTTTGTTCCCATTTCTCCCACCCATACTCCTAATGGAGGGGAGGTGAACTTGCCTGATTTTGGTAATGTCCTTATTTGTTCATTAGCATAATCAATTACATCAACAGCCTTGGAAATCACCAGGAAGAACATTATTTTCTCTGGATCCCACCGCCATTGTAGGGCTAAATATTAACTAAGTCACTTCTCTGCCACAGCATGGTGAGGGTTGATCTAGCCTTACGATAAAATCCCTAGCCAACTGATTGTTCTTTTAAAAAAGCCTTTCTGACTCCTACAGAATCCATTCAGAGGTGCCATACACCAGCTGATCAGCAGATGTGAAAAATGGCATTGGGTTTCCAAATCAGTCAAAGGGAGTCCAACTGACAAGACCAACAGGCCATGCAGATTTCTTACACTACCCTTGTCTACACTACCCGCCGGATTGGCGGGCAGCAATCAATCCAGCGGCAGTTGATTTATTGCGTCTACTCTAGACGTGATAAATCAACCGCTGAGCGCTCTCCCGTTGACTCTGGTACTCCACTGGAGTGAGAGGCGCAGGGGGAGTCGACGGGGCAGCGTCAGCCATCGACTTACCGCAGTGAAGACACCACAGCAAGTAGATCTAAGTACGTCGACTTCAGCTACGTTATTCACGTAGCTAAAGTTGCGTAATTTAGATCGATGCCCCCCTCTAGGCCTTATGGGGAAGGGAGTTTAACTTTGCCTAACTCACATGTGCGGGAGACTCCTCAGCAAAAGCCACAGATGGCAGCAAGTGGAATTTCCTATTAATTATTCACTTCCTATCTCCCATCCTTTATCTGTCACGTCCATTTAGCTTATAAATTCTTCGAGGCAGGGTCCATCTCTTACTCTGTGTCTAGACAGCATCTAGCATATTGGGGCTCTGATGCCAGGCATGGCCTCTAAGTACTTGCATAATAAAAACAAATACATAATAATAAATTCCTTATTTCTGCAGGATCACTCAGAATTTTACTTTCTAGGCTATGTCCACACTACGCACCTTTTAGCAACACAGCAGTGCTGCTACAGCTGTGCTGCTAAAAGGCGCGCAGTGTAGCTGGTGTTCGTCGGCGGGAGAGAGCTCTCCCGCCAACAAAAAACTTCCACCTCCAATGAGCAGCGGTAGCTTTGTCGGCAGGAGAGCTGTCCCGCCGACAAAGTGCTATTCAAACTGGCGCTTTTCCTCAGTAAAACTTTTGTTGTTCAGGGTGTTTTTTTTTCACAGCCCTGAACGACAAAAGTTTTACCGACGGAAGTCCCGTGTAGACAAAGCCTTAGTCACTATGAGCTAAAAATAGCAGTGGAGGATGGGAAAAGGCAAAACAAAAAAACATCTGAAACATAGACCTAGAATTTGCCATGCAAAATAATTACAGCTGTTCTGGTACATGGCTTACTCATAATCCCTGACACAGGACAGGCCCTCAGCTTGTATGGATGCAGAGAAATTTTCCCCATCCATTATAACGATGAAGGTGTCAGGCAAACTTTGGACCTAAATTTCTTTAGTATCTTTAATAACACCCATAATAAACCTAAATATAGCTCATGCAACCAGAGATCTAGGACAGAGCCCCAGGATTTAATATGATTTTGGAACCGCTGACTACACAACATTGTTGATACTGTAGCAATCTTGTCTTTGGGCCAGAAGGTCATTCATAATGTTCCACGGCCACACACGGACTTCTCCTTCCCAAGGCTGACTGTAGCCCTACACTGCAGAATGAAAGGGGCACTAAATTCAAGCTGTATAAGCTATTAGAAGTTAAAATGACGATCCCTTCTACCCATCTCTGGTGGCACAGAATGATCACATTTAACCTGAGCCTCTCAGCTTTCACATCCTCTCTATCGAAAGCAGGGTCTGTGATCCAGGACTATGTATGAGCTATTGCTCATTGCAGACTGGTGCTTTTGCCCACAGAGTTGCTGCCCAGCCGGTATGGAATTGATTCCATTATAAAGCACTCAAAGAACCCTTGTTTGGTCTGGTCTGGTCTGTAGGGTAATATGCTTTTCTGTTGACCTCTTCATCTTCCAGGAGTTCATGACAAATTGCAAATAAAATCAAGTTAATATTTTAAAATGATTATTCTCTATTTGAACTGCCGCCAGGTCTTGAAAACTGCATGAGTAATCTATCACGGGATCCAAATATTGATCTTACAGCTAAACTACAATTACCAGACTAAGTCAGAGACAAACTATTACAGGCTGGTTTATTAAAAACAAAACTTCTTACTTGTGACTGTAGCAATCAGAACACCCAAGTAGATCAGCAAGCTTACCTGAGCTCCTCACTTTGCATTCACCAGAGACCAGAAGGAATGTCTCAACAGCTGCACAGCTCTTCACCAAAGCTAGGCATAATATAATGGGCCTAAATCTGATCCAAGATATGTGGCACTCACCTCTGTGTCTCCTCCGCACGGGGAATGCAAGGACCACAATGAAGCACAAGTTTCTGTACAGTAATATGTGCATTTGCTTTGGTTTAAAAGGGAAGTGATGTCTGGGCTGGACACTGTCCTGCAGCCTGGACTAGAGCACTAGACTAAGACTCAGCAGACTCAGATTCTATTCCTGGCTCTGCCACTGACCTGCTGTGTGACCTCTGGTTCCCCTCCCACTTTTTGTCTGTCTGGTCTGTTTAGACTGTAAGCTCTTCAGGGCAGGCACTGTCTCTTATTATGTGTATGTACAGCATCTGGCACAACAGAGCCTTGACCCTGATGCGGGCCTTTAGGTGCTACTGTCATATGAATTGCCGTCTAAAGACAATTACACCTTTGTTCCATTCAGCAGTGAGGCCAAGGGCTGAGAGGGCCACTGAAGACAAACTCTCCTCTTAGCACGAAGTCAGGGCTATGGCGTATTAGTGGGGTGGGGTAGGAGAGCCTTGGCCTGCCTATGCTGTAACCGTTCGGTGGGCAAAGAGCACTTCATTCCCCAGCACTGTCCCGGCGGCACTGAATTCCCTCCAGAAGTGAATTGATACCCCAGGCGCCACTGCACCTGGGAGAAAATGGGGCTCAATAATGTATTATTCTGGGCTGCATATTCTGCACCTTCCCAGCTTTCTGGTGGGGGGATGTGTGTCTCTGTGACATCGCCTCTGCTTGTGGTTCCGTTATCCACGACAGGCAGGGAAAGATAGAGTTAAACCCTGGGGTGCCCTGCTTTTGCACTGAGGGGCAGCTGCTGAGACCAGCAAGCTACTCTGCAGAGTCCAAGGAAAGGCAAAGAGAATAACCAGCAGCCTTTGCAAGGGAGCCCTTAGCTCACCTGTCCATCTTACCAGCGTAAAAGGTCAAAAGTGCTACAGAGCTAAACCAGGGGGACAGGGAGCAAGCTGCACCCACATGCTTTATTAGTGGGCATGAGATGGAGGGCTTCCGAAAACTCGGCCAGAGTGAGAGGTAGCTCTAGCCGGTCCCGGTCGCCCACACTGGCCGTGGGGAGTTCAGTCCAGAGCACGCTGCAAGCGTCGGGGAGGAAATGACCTGCTCGCCCTTCCTCGGGGTTTGACATTGCAGTATTTTCGCTTCACTCCTTATCTCCATCTGCTGGAGGGAGATTGTATCACATGCTGACTGCAGAGAAGAGACTGGTTTCAGAGTAGCAGCCGTGTTAGAAGAGACTGACTTTCCTCACTGAAGTAAGGGAACTGAAGTCACTGAAACCCACACTATTATGTATCTTTCCATTCAATCTAAAATTAAAATGCTTTTACCCTATTTTCTGCAGTAGCCACTGACCAAATATGGTGCACATAAAAAACAAACAAACCAGCTTCCTCTCTGCTATAAGCAAATGCAAATTGCATTGATTTACTCCAAGCCTGGATTTGGCCCTAGTCCTGGATTTTGCAAACTGAGGGCTCCAAAGTGACTTCAGCCAAGAGCCAAGTTGTTCCTTAGGATCGGCCTCCCCTGCTGCAATGCTTTCCAGATTGGATGCAAGATCTGTCTGTCTCCGGGTCCCCTGTCCATCCAGGACTGCTGGAGTTTGCTGGGAAAGGCTGCTGCTTCCTGGTTGAGAACTGTCTAGCTTCAGGTCCGATGGGCTGTTCTGTCTTCCCAGGACTTCTGGAGCTGGTTGAGGAGGGTCAGCAGCAGAGAGTCCAGCACTGCCAAACCTTTCCAAGAGCACCTGAGCCCCCTGGGAAAAAAGCAGGACATGGATCATCCCCCCCATCAAAGAACAGGGCTCTTCCCCCGCCACAGTCCTTACCTATTGTCCAAAAGCAGCAAGCCCTGATCCTCCAGCTCTTTCACTTCCTCTGAGGTTCCAAACACGTCCCACAGGCTCAGGCTGGTGGCAAACTGCAGCCAGTGCTGATGGGGGAGAGACTCCTTGTAAATACTGACTTGACAGAGTTTACTGGGGCTTTGATCTTTTATTTTGTGGGGTTAGTTTCACCTGCCTAGTAACAGATTCCACACAAAGCTCTAGAGGGAAGGGTGTGAGCCTCTTGGAGAGGCCTAGCCTTTCTCAGGGCTGCCTGCCTTTCTGCATCTGCACTGCTCCTGCAAAAATAGCACTCACCTGGCTTTGCACCCTTAATTTAGATGGTTCAATCCCTGACTGTGCCTGATGCTGCGGTGATGGGGGCAGTGTGAAAGTCCTGATCCCGCAGAGAGAAATCAGGTGCTCAGCTGCCTAACGGACAAGATTTGCATCTCCAGCTGAGGGTGCCAGAAGCGCAGGTGCAGTTTCTATGGGTGCCCATTAAAAAAGGGGGTTGAACAGAAGCCCCTTGAAATCTCTGGCTGTGGCATGCAGTCCAAGGAGCCGTTCGCATGGCCCAGTGGGTAATACCCCTGACTAGCCAACAGAGACTGAACTCCTCTCTCACCCCTAGAAGTCAGGGCTAAAGGGTGGGAGAACCTGTCCGCCACGTCCAATCACCGCACGGTCAGCATCTAGTATTGGTAAATGCACTTACAGTCGAACCTCAGAGTCATGAACCCCTCTGGAATGGAGGTTGCTCATAACTCTGAAATGTCCGTAACCCGGAACAAAACGTTCTGGTGGATCTTTCAAAAGTTTACAACCGAGCATTGACTTCAGACAGCTCTGAAACGTCACTACCCAGAAGAGAAATTCTGCTTTCCCTTATTTTTTTTAGCCGTTTATGTTTAAACACAGCACTGTGCTGTTTTTGGTCTCTGCTGTTGCCTGACTGCGTACTTCCGTTTCCAACTGCGGTGTGTGGTTGACTGGTCAGTTCATAACTCCGGTGTTGATAACTTCTACTGTACTTTGCATACTGTGCCCAGCAATGTGTGAGCCAAACATGAGATTGGACTATCAAAGGTGCCACAAACAATCAAATCCTGTCCTACCGCATGTGACTGGGACCTGTATCCTGACTGTAAAGGTTTGGGGGATTACTGAATTCACCATTTGGACTTGATGACCTTGGGCCGAACTTTCAAAGGCATTTAGGCACTTAGTGGGATTTTCAAAAGCTACCCGTGCCTAACTCCCTTTGATTTCAAATGCCTATCTGCATCTCTAAGCACCTAAATACCTTTAAACATTTGCCCCTTGGGGCTTTCAATCCATAGCAGCTGTACTGGGCCAGGGGCTGACATCTTGGCAATTCAGACTAAGGGAATCCCTGTGAGAGTTCCAGAGCTGCTCAGAATCCCAGCAGAGAACAGACCACTCCTTGCCGAGCCAGTCCACACACAGCACTTGACCAGAGCTCTCCTTGGAAATGGTTCCTCTTGCTGGCCCTGTCCAGAGCCAGCTGCGAAAGCCACGCTCTGAGAGTTCAAACCCCCGCAGGACAGGCTGCTACAACCGAGAGCCAGCTCTCACCTGGTGTGTGATTCCTATGTCCATGCGGAGCCCCAGGACCAAAACCTCCTCCAACCTACAACACAAAGAGCGATGCTGGAGGGCTGTGGGGTCACCAGGGGGCTCCCGAAGGTGGTCCTGCATCTGGGGCTGAAGGTGCAAGGAAGGCAAAGGGGAGCACCTGAGTGCAAGTGGGAAAAGGCTGCCCACATTGTTCTCCTTCAAGGGCCTGAGACTGCAGCCCTGCTGGCAAAGCTCCCATCGTCTTTCATAGTTTAGCCTGCAGGAGAATGGCAGGATCGGGCTCCCGCTCGGTTAGAAGCATAGTGTTTAAGGCCAGAAGGGAGCACCAGATCATCTAGCCTGACCTCCTGCATGTCACAGGCCACCACCAGCCCCCATCCCCCGCACACTAAGCCCAACAACCAAAACTAGCCCAAAGTCTCACAGTCCATAGGAGACCCAATATGTGCTACAGGCAGAGTAAGGGCAGGACCAAGGGGCATCAATGCTCGAGGCCCTGAAAAGGCAGGGAAGTGATGGTGAGATATAGCCACACAGTCCTGGCAAGTGACCCGCACCCAGGTTATTTTATCTCAGTAGCTTGCAGGAAAGGCCACATGCACCAAGACGCTGAGGAGGAGGAGGAGTCAGACACCACCTGGGGTGAGCCGACTGTTGGCCCTGCCCCAATACTCACACCTCCAGCTGGCTCAGCACAGTCTGTTTCCGGGTCCCGTGTCCGCAGGCAAGCACCTCCTTCATCCAGCTGTCCGGCTCCAGGGTCTGTATTCTGGCTTCCCGAAGGCTCTCGCCATGTGCTCGCGGCACAAACCTCCCATGAGCTCCTAGGATAATGACAAGCATTTCTGCAGCATCCCTTCCCTCCTGGAGTTCATCACCCCCAGAGCAGCAATGGCCCTTGGGTCAGAGCCATGGGGTTGATTGGGGGGCGAGAGGTGGTGCCTTGCAAGGGTCAGTCATCGCTCAGGGCCCTGCAACAGTGCCCTGGGAGGATGAGCTTCCTCACAGCAGCTCCTTGTAGAGGTCAACTGGACCCCAGCGGAGAGGCTGCTTTGTAGCTCTATACACAGCCCCATCTGGTGAGATCCCGTGTGCCTCTTACTTTCCCAGGGAACTCACCTGGCCCGACCCCTATGTACTGGCTGCCTTGCCAATAGGACAGGTTGTGGGTACTGAGCGCCCCCTGCAGGAGAAAATGACACACCATAAGCCAGGAAAAGGAATCAAATCTCTTTGGACCCATTCCTGCAAGATGCTCAAGGCTTCTGGCATGGTGACTCCCTATTGGACTCAACGGGTCTGGTAGGCGCTCAGCACCTAGCAGGATCAGGCCCATCATGTGGGGTTCTGGGTTTATCTTTCTCACAGTGTGCAGAGTAAGCAGGGCTTCCTCTTTCAGTGCTGGGCTTCCCATCTCTCTCCTGGGCTGAAAAGACAGTCCAGCTTCCTTGCCCACCCCAGCTCCCTGCTGAGAGGGAATCTCAGCAAGCATTGCTAGCAGAGGGCATGCTCAGTGCTCGTCCCCACTCCCAACATCCAGAGAGAGTTCCCCTGGGCCTGCATCTGCTCCCCCACATCTCGCCCCGGAACACGTCCCCTGCTTGGGGAGCTCAGATCCTCTCACCAGTTGTATTCTGAATTATTTGGGTTTATTCTCCCCCCGCTTAGATCTGGGACACACTGCAAAAGGGACAGGCCAAGGGGAGGGACTCACATTCCTGGCAAAATTGGAGACCTCATACTGCCGGAATCCCACGTCCCGCAGCATCTCCCGGGCAGATTCATACATCTCTGCCACCACCTCCTGCTTGGGCACGGGCAGAGAGCCCCGCTGGACCTGCTTGAAGAGGGAGGTGCCCCTCTCCAGCGTCAGCTGGTACAGAGACACGTGGTCATCACACAGCTGAAGCAGCTCTTCTAACCCCCTGGCCCATGAGGAAACACTCTGGCCGGGGAGGCCAAAGATGAGGTCAACGGATGTGCGGCCGGGAAACAGCTTCTTTGCCTCTTCCAAGGTCCCCAGAGCCTCATCAGCCGTGTGGTACCTCCCAAGGAGCCTCAGCTCTGCATCATCCAGGGACTGCAGAGAACAAGAATGATCGGCGGAGAGGTGCTTTAGGCTGCTTTAGAGAGGTTTTGGGGGAGGGAGCACGGGGAAGCCCCAGAGAGGGATGAGAAGGGCACGTGAGGAGACAGCGAGAGGGAGAAAGAGAGTGAAGGAGGGAGCGAGATAGAGCAGGACCCTGTGGGAGAAGGTAGAGAGAGTGTCCCTGAGAGAAGAGCATGGGGATGGGGGGGGGGGGTGGTGTGCCTGAGGATAAGAAGGGTAAATCTCCTGCTTTCTCACCTGGATGCCGATGGAGAGGCGATTGACTCCCGACGCCCGGAATCCCGCCAGCCGCGAGGCACTTGCTGAGGTGGGATTGGCTTCCAGAGTGACCTCGGCGTCCGCCGCCAAGTGGGCGCAGCGGGAGACGGTCTCCAGGACAGCAGCGATGGTGAGCGGGCTGGCCAGGCTTGGGGTGCCCCCGCCGAAGAACACCGAGCTGATCCTGCCGAGCGGAGGGGAGAGAGGCCTGGAGTCTCACAGGGTGAATGGGCTGCTGTGCAGGCTACCTCCAGACTCACTGCCTCGGAGAAATCCTCCTCCCATGCCCCAGGGGACACCTGCTTTCAGGCAGGACGTCCCCTCCCTCGGACCTCAATAGACCCTTACCGCAAAGCCCCAGCTTCAGCTCCTGCCCCAGCAGGAAAGGGGAACAGTGTCAAAGAAGCCACGCCCAGCCCCCCAGCCGCTCTGGGTCGGGTGCAAAGCTAAAGGTCAGCACAGCCTTTGTGGAATACAGCAGGGCGGATTTAACCACCTCTGCCTCCCACATGCCGCTTTCCCTGGCTGCTGTTGTAAAGCCACAAAGAACCACATTACCTCCCCTTCCCCCAACCGCCACTCTCTCCCCTTTCCTGCTGAAGGACCCACCTCTGGACTTGGCTGAGCCGGATCAGGGTCTGGGCTTCCCGAGAGAGACAGCTCCTCACGGACTCCTCGTCTAGGCCCCGGGGGATGTACGTGTTGAAGTTGCAGTAGCTGCAGCGTTTCTGGCAGTACGGCCACTAAGAGACACGGGGACCAGGATTCGTAGACTCAAAGGCCAGAAGGGACCACTGTGATCATCTAGTCTGACCTCCCGTGACACTAGTCACAGGGCTTCCCTGAATTCATTCCTGTTTGTATTATGAATATGGTTACAGTGGAACCTCACAGTTACGAACCCCTCGGGAATGGAGGCTGTTCATAGCTCCGAGCAAAACGTTCTGGTGGTTCTTTCAAAAGCTTACAGCTGAACACTGACTTCAGACAGCTTCGAAACTTCACTATGCAGAAGAAAAATGCTGCTTTCCCTTTCTTTTTTTAGTAGGTCACATTTAACACAGCACTGTGCTGTACTGGCTTTTGTTTGTTTGTGCTGTTGCCTGATTGCCCACGTCCAGTTCCAAATGAGGGGTGTGGCTGACTGGGGTCGAGGGTTGCCAAGTTTCTGGCTGCAGAAAACCCGAACACCCTTGCCCTGCCCCCTGCCCTGAGGCTCCGTCCCTGCCCCTTCTCCAAGGCCCTTCCCACTCACTCCGTCCCCTGCTCTCTCCATCACTCGCTCTCCCCCATCCTTGCTCACTTGCTCATTTTCACTGGGCTGGGGCAGGAGGTTGGGGTGCGGAAGGGGGCTCAGGGCTGGGGCAAGGGGTTGGGGGCGGGCTCTGGGAAGGACTTTGGGTGCGGGAGGGGCTCAGGGCTGGGGCAGCAGAATGGGGCGCTGGAGGGGGTGCGGGGTGCAGGCTCCAAGCAGCGCTTATCTCAGGCGGCTCCCAGAAGCAGCGGCATGTCCCCCCTCCGGCAGCATGTCCCGTCCGCAGGCGCCACCCCCGCAGCTCCCAGTGGCCATGGTTCCCAGCTAATGGGAGCTGCGGAGTTGGTGCTCGGGGCGGGGGCAGCACATGGAGCTCCCGGGCCAACCCTGCACCTAGGAGCCGGAGGGGGACATGCCGCTGCTTCCGGGAGCCGCGTGGAGCCAGGGAGCCTGCCTGGCCCTGCTGTGCCACTGACCGGACTTTTAATGGCCTGATCAGCAGTGCTGACCGGAGCCACCAGGGTCCCTTTTTGACCGGGTGTTCCCGTCGAAAATTGGATGCCTGGCAACCCTACTGGGGTCATAATTCTGGGGTTCATAACTCTGAGGTTCTACTGTATTATGGTAGTGCCCAGGGACCAGCCAAGATCAGGCCCCACCGGGAGCGAGAGGAGAACTTCTGGAAAAACACCCCATCTTGATTTAAAAGTATCCAGTGATGGAGAAACCACGTGTGGTACATTGTTCCAACGGTTAACTACCCTCACTGCCTTATTTCTAGTCTGAATTTGTCTAGCTTTGACTGCCAGCTATTGGATCTAGGCCATAGATTATATTGGAGACTTCACTCAAATCCAGGGGAAGTTACCTTCCCAGTAAAGATGGCACCATCTTACATTTAGTACAGGTTTCAGAGTAACAGCCCTGTTAGTCTGTCTTTGCAAAAAGAAAAGGAGTACTTGTGGCACCTTAGAGACTAACCAATTTATTTGAGCATGAGCTTTCGTGAGCTACAGCATCCGATGAAGTGAGCTGTAGCTCACGAAAGCTCATGCTCAAATAAATTGGTTAGTCTCTAAGGTGCCACAAGTACTCCTTTTCTTTTTACATTTAGTACAGAAGTTCAGACCCAGAGGTTCACACAGGCCAAAGCCTTGTCCTGACTCAGGATACGTCTACATTGCAACCGGGAGGTGTAATTCCCAGCTCGGGTTAGCGGACCTCCAGCTAGCACCTAAAAATAGCCAGGTGAGGGTGTAGGCAGGGGCGGCTTGGTCTAGCCACCTGGGCACCTGCCCCAGGATCTCGGCTTGCAGGGGGGCGGCTAGCTGAGCCTGCACCTGCTATTCTAGCGCCCCAACTTGACCGACGTTAGCACACGGACACCTGAGCTGGGCACGACCCCTGCCGCTGCCCTACAGCCGGCCCCCCGGGGGCTTGTGGGGTGCCCGGGCGCCCTCACGCGCTCCTCCTCCACCTTCCAGAACGCGAGGGCGGCCGAGGCGGCGCAGCCCGCCCCGCCGGCTGCACGGGGCTCGGGTGACCCAGCGGCGCGCCCGGACTCCGGCAAGGCCGCAGGGAGCCCCCCGCTCCTACGGGGCACCGGCCAGGGGCGCCCACACGGGCACAGGCTGCACGGGCACGCGCGCCCGCACGGGATCCGGCCCGGGGCGCGCGCACGTGGCCCGGCCCGCACTCACGTGCACGTAGAGGGCCGCCTGGACCGGCTCCGCGCGGGACGGCTGCCGCGCCCGGTGCTGCCGCGCCGCTCGGAGGCTGCGCAGAGCCGCGGCCAGCCGGGCCCGAGGGTGCCGCCAGCCCGGCGCCGCCATGAGCTGCCCCGCCCCACGCCGCCGCTCACGGGGAGGGACCGGCCGGGCGGCTCCGCAGCGCGTGTGGCCGGGAGCCCCCGCCCCCAGTGCCGCCTCTCAGGCTGCTTCTTCCCCCCGTCCCCGTCAGCCCTCACCAGCCCCTCCTGCTCCTACCGCCCCTCCCGATCTCAGCCCCCCCCGTGTCCCCCTGTTCCTACCCCCCAGCTCCCCCTTCGTCCCCCCCGCTCCTACCGCCCCCTTCCCGATCTCAGCCCCCCCCGTGTCCCCCTGTTCCTACCCCCCAGCTCCCCCTTCGTCCCCCCGCTCCTACCGCCCCTCCCGATCTCAGCCCCCGTGTCCCCCTGTTCCTACCCCCCAGCTCCCCCTTCGTCCCCCCGCTCCTACCGCCCCTCCCGATCTCAGCCCCCCGTGTCCCCCTGTTCCTACCCCCCAGCTCCCCCTTCGTCCCCCCGCTCCTACCGCCCCTCCCGATCTCAGCCCCCCGTGTCCCCCCTGTTCCTACCCCCCAGCTCCCCCTTCGTCCCCCCCCGCTCCTACCGCCCCCTTCCCGATCTCAGCCCCCCCCGTGTCCCCCCTGTTCCTACCCCCCAGCTCCCCCTTCGTCCCCCCGCTCCTACCGCCCCCTTCCCGATCTCAGCCCCCCCCGTGTCCCCCCTGTCCCTACCCCCCAGTTCCCCCTTCGTCCCCCCGCTCCTACCGCCCCTCCCGATCTCAGCCCCCCGTGTCCCCCCTGTTCCTACCCCCCAGCTCCCCCTTCGTCCCCCCGCTCCTACCGCCCCTCCCGATCTCAGCCCCCGTGTCCCCCTGTTCCTACCCCCCAGCTCCCCCTTCGTCCCCCCGCTCCTACCGCCCCTCCCGATCTCAGCCCCCCGTGTCCCCCTGTTCCTACCCCCCAGCTCCCCCTTCGTCCCCCCGCTCCTACCGCCCCCTCCCGATCTCAGCCCCCCCCCGTGTCCCCCTGTCCCTACCCCCCAGCTCTCCCTTCGTCCCCCCGCTCCTACCGCCCCCTCCTGCTCTCAGCCCCCCCGTGTCCCCCCTGTCCCTACCCCCCAGCTCCCCCTTCGTCCTCCCTGCTCCTACCGCCCCCTCCCGATCTCAGCTCCCCCCGTGTCCCCCCTGTCCCTACCCCCCCAGCTCCCCCTTCGTCCCCCCGCTCCTACCGCCCCCTCCCGATCCCAGCCCCCCCCGTGTCCCCCCTGTTCCTACCCCCCACCTCCCCCTTCGTCCCCCCCGCTCCTACCGCCCCCTCCCGATCTCAGCCCCCCCCGTGTCCCCCTGTTCCTACCCCCCAGCTCCCCCTTCGTCCCCCCCGCTCCTACCGCCCCCTCCCGATCTCAGCCCCCCCCCGTGTCCCCCCTGTTCCTACCCCCCAGCTCCCCCTTCGTCCCCCCCGCTCCTACCACCCCTCCCGATCTCAGCCCCCCCCCGTGTCCCCCCTGTTCCTACCCCCCCAGCTCCCCCTTCGTCCCCCCCCGCTCCTACTGCCCCCTCCTGCTCTCAGCCCCCCCCGTGTCCCCCCTGTTCCTACCCCCCAGTTGCCCCTTCGTCCCCCCGCTCCTACCGCCCCTCCCGATCTCAGCCTCCCCCCCCGTGTCCCCCCTGTTCCTACCCCCCAGCTCCCCCTTCGTCCCCCCGCTCCTACTGCCCCCTCCCGATCTCAGCCTCCCCCCCGTGTCCCCCCTGTTCCTACCCCCCAGTTCCCCCTCCGTCCCCCCCTGCTCCTACCGCCCCCTCCCGATCTCAGCCTCCCCCCCGTGTCCCCCCTGTTCCTACCCCCCAGCTCCCCCTCGTCCCCCCCGCTCCTACCGCCCCCTCCTGATCTCAGCCCCCCGTGTCCCCCTGTTCCTACCCCCCAGCTCCCCTTTCGTCCCCCCGCTCCTACTGCCCCCTCCTGCTCTCAGCCCCCCCGTGACCCCCTGTTCCTACCCCCCAGCTCCCCCTTCGTCCCCCCCCGCTCCTACTGCCCCCTCCTGCTCTCAGCCCCCCGCGTGTCCCCCCTGTTCCTACCCCCAGTTCTCCCTTCGTCCCCCCCTCCCTACCGCCCCCTCCCGATCTCAGCCCCCCGTGTCCCCCCTGTTCCTACCCCCAGCTCCCCTTCGTCCCCCCGCTCCTAGCGCCCCCTCCCGATCTCAGCCCCCCCGTGTCCCCCTGTTCCTACCCCCTAGCTCCCCCTTGGTCCCCCCGCTCCTACCGCCCCCTCCCCATCTCAGCCCTCACCAGCCCCCCCTCTGTCCCGCTGTTCCTACCCCCCAGCTCCCTCTTCGTCCCCCTGCTCCTACCCCCCCACCTCCCCCTTCGTCCCCCTGCTCCTACCCCCCACCTCCCCCTTTGTCCCCCCGCTCCTACCGCCCCCTCCCGATCTCATCCCCCCCGCATCCCCCTGTTCCTGCCCCCCAGGTCCCCCCTTCGTCCCCCTGCTCCTACCGCCCCTCCCGATCTCAGCCCCCCGTGTCCCCCTGTTCCTACCCCCCAGCTCCCCCTTCGTCCCCCTGCTCCTACCGCCCCCTCCTGCTCTCAGCCCCCCCGTATCCGCCTGTTCCTACCCCCCAGCTCCCCCTTTGTCCCCCCCGCTCCTACCGCCCCCTCCCGATCTCAGCCCCCCGTGTCCCCCTGTTCCTACCCCCAGCTCCCCTTCGTCCCCCCGCTCCTACCGCCCCCTCCCGATCTCAGCCCCCCCGTGTCCCCCCTGTTCCTACCCCCTAGCTCCCCCTTGGTCCCCCCGCTCCTACCGCCCCCTCCCCATCTCAGCCCTCACCAGCCCCCCCTCTGTCCCGCTGTTCCTACCCCCCAGCTCCCGCTTCGTCCCCCTGCTCCTACCCCCCCACCTCCCCCTTCATCCCCCTGCTCCTACCCCCCACCTCCCCCTTTGTCCCCCCGCTCCTACCGCCCCCTCCCGATCTCATCCCCCCCGCATTCCCCTGTTCCTGCCCCCCAGGTCCCCCTTCGTCCCCCCTGCTCCTACCGCCCCTCCCAATCTCAGGCCCCTGTATCCCCCTGTTAGTACCCCCCAGTTCCCCCTTCGTCCCCCCGCTCCTACCGCCCCCTCCCGATCTCAGCCCCCCGTGTCCCCCCTGTTCCTACCCCCCAGCTCCCCCTTCGTCCCCCTGCTCCTACCGCCCCCTCCTGCTCTCAGCCCCCCCGTATCCCCCTGTTCCTACCCCCCAGCTCCCCCTTCGTCCCCCCGCTCCTACCGCCCCCTCCTGATCTCAGCCCCCCGTGTCCCCCCTGTTCCTACCCCCCAGGTCCCCCTTCGTCCCCCCCGCTCCTACTGCCCCCTCCTGATCTCAGCCCCCCGTGTCCCCCCTGTTCCTACCCCCCATGTCCCCCTTCGTCCCCCCCCCTCCTACTGCCCCCTCCTGCTCTCAGCCCCCCCCCGTGTCCCCCTGTTCCTACCCCCCAGCTCCCCTTTCGTCCCCCCGCTCCTACCGCCCCCTCCCGATCTCAGCCCCCCCGTGTCCCCCTGTTCCTACCCCCTAGCTCCCCCTTGGTCCCCCCGCTCCTACCGCCCCCTCCCCATCTCAGCCCTCACCAGCCCCCCTCTGTCCCGCTGTTCCTACCCCCCAGCTCCCTCTTCGTCCCCCTGCTCCTACCCCCCACCTCCCCCTTCGTCCCCCTGCTCCTACCCCCCCACCTCCCCCTTTTTGTCCCCCCGCTCCTACCGCCCCCTCCCGATCTCATCCCCCCGCATCCCCCCTGTTCCTGCCCCCCAGGTCCCCCCTTCGTCCCCCTGCTCCTACCGCCCCTCCCAATCTCAGGCCCCTGTATCCCCCTGTTAGTACCCCCCAGTTCCCCCTTCGTCCCCCCGCTCCTACCGCCCCCTCCCGATCTCAGCCCCCCCGTGTCCCCCCTGTTCCTACCCCCCAGCTCCCCCTTCGTCCCCCCGCTCCTACCGTCCCCTCCTGCTCTCAGCCCCCCCGTATCCCCCCTGTTCCTACCCCCCAGCTCCCCCTTCGTCCCCCCGCTCCTACCGCCCCCTCCTGATCTCAGCCCCCCGTGTCCCCCCTGTTCCTACCCCCCAGGTCCCCCTTCATCCCCCCCGCTCCTACTGCCCCCTCCTGATCTCAGCCCCCCGTGTCCCCCCTGTTCCTACCCCCCATGTCCCCCTTCGTCCCCCCCTCCTACTGCCCCCTCCTGCTCTCAGCCCCCCCCGTGTCCCCCCTGTTCCTACCCCCCAGCTCCCCTTTCGTCCCCCCGCTCCTACTGCCCCCTCCCGATCTCAGCCCCCCGTGTCCCCCTGTTCCTACCCTCCAGCTCCCCCTTCGTTCCCCTGCTCCTACCGCCCCCTCCCGATCTCAGCCCCCCCGTGTCCCCCTGTTCCTACCCCCCAGCTCCCCTTTCGTCCCCCCCGCTCCTACTGCCCCCTCCTGCTCTCAGCCCCCCGTGACCCCCTGTTCCTACCCCCCAGCTCCCCCTTCGTCCCCCCGCTCCTACTGCCCCCTCCCGATCTCAGCCCCCCGTGTCCCCCTGTTCCTACCCCCCAGCTCCCCTTCGTCCCCCCGCTCCTACCGCCCCCTCCCGATCTCAGCCCCCCCCGTGTCCCCCCTGTTCCTACCCCCTAGCTCCCCCTTGGTCCCCCCGCTCCTACCGCCCCCTCCCCATCTCAGCCCTCACCAGCCCCCCTCTGTCCCGCTGTTCCTACCCCCCCACCTCCCCCTTCGTCCCCCTGTTCCTGCCCCCCAGGTCCCCCTTCGTCCCCCCTGCTCCTACCGCCCCTCCCAATCTCAGGCCCCTGTATCCCCCTGTTAGTACCCCCCAGTTCCCCCTTCGTCCCCCCGCTCCTACCGCCCCCTCCCCATCTCAGCCCTCACCAGCCCCCCTTCGTCCCCCTGCTCCTACCCCCCAGCTCCCCCTTCGTCCCCCCGCTCCTACCGCCCCCTCCCGATCTCATCCCCCCCGCATCCCCCCTGTTCCTGCCCCCCAGGTCCCCCTTCGTCCCCCCGCTCCTACCGCCCCTCCCGATCTCAGGCCCCTGTATCCCCCTGTTAGTACCCCCCAGTTCCCCCTTCGTCCCCCCG